GTGGCAGCACTGCTAATGGGCCAGGCAGGGGATGGAGTTTCCATGCAGTTTGTACCTGAGAGCGAATCCAGTGTGAGCTGGAGCCGAGCTGTGGCTGACAGAAATGGGGGTGGGGAGGAGGCAGGGGTGGGGTAGAAGCTGCAGAGGACAAATGGAGCAGGGGCAGGAGGCTACTGTGGGTTTGCCACTAGCCCTGAGCCTCATTTGGGGCCAGAGTCCAAGCCGCAGCAGCCACTGCCTCCTTCCATCCCCTTCTCCACTTTGTATGTGAATCTAAGATGAGGGGCATTTCCCCCCATGCAGATCAGGGAGGAGAGGGCAGAACATCACCTTAGATTCAAGTAAATACAGTAATAACTGTAGAATACAAAAGTTTAGTTGTATTTAGTCTATGTGTAAAAGCTCACAGAATTTGTCATATTTATAGTTGGTAGGTAAGTAGAGTCGGAAGGGACCTGAGCAAATCATCAAGTCCGACCCCCTGCCATGGCAGGAAGAATGTTGATGTTATGAAGACAGGGTCATCTCAATCCAAGCTACCCCATACAAGTGTTTGTCACTCTAACCTATTCCTGAAACCATACAGACACCCCAGTCACATAACTACAAGGCACGTTGCCTAAAAACAACAGGAACTGCCTAGCCTGCCACAGGATGAGGGCTCTGTCAATGTCCTGCTGCTGCAAGGATTGTTAAAATACCCTTGAGGAATCCAAAGAAGAAGACCATGCCTCCTGCGACAGAAGAAAGCAAAAACCCCCACAGTCCATGCTGATCTAACCATGAGGTAAGATTTCTTCCTGATTCCAAATGTGGTAATTGGTCTGAACCTGATTGCAAGACCCTCTAACTAGGAACCTCTGAGCTTTAGTTCCAGGGGGAGCATTGGCACACCCAGTCAAAATCCTTACATCGCCCTCCTCCCCCCAACTGGAGAGCCAAAACTTCCCTTTGACATCCTTTCCCCTCCATAAAAATCATTCCATACCCTTTAATCTTCTTTCCTAATTAAATAAGTTGTGGAGCTTTGCTTCATTTTCCTGCTGCTGAGTATTTTCCTCTCCAATATCTACCTGCTCTGGGTGGCACCCAACAATCTAAGGTGGGCTTCTGGGTTTCCAAATGTGCTCTTTTGGACCACACTTATGTCACACTTTATAAATGAGCTTATAGCACACTCTACCCTGCTACTTCTAGATCATCCCAGGCAGTGCTCATACACCTCTTTTTGAAAACCTCCAATGAAGGAGATTCCACAGCTTCCCTGGGCTGTCTGTTCCATGGCCTTGCTGTTCTAAAAGGGAAGAAATTTGTCATGGTATTCATTCTAAACCTACATTGATGTTTTTTCAAGTCATTGCTATGCATCCTACTCTGCAGTGATAGAGAAAAGGTGTTTTACCTTTTCTTTATGGCAGCCCTTCAAATGTCTGAAAATTGCCATTATGTCCATTAAGAATTGCCTTTTCCACAAGCTAAATATGTTTATTTCTGTCAACGTCTTCTCATATGGCTTGCCTTCTAAGCCTTCTGTCATTTTTGTCATTTGCCTCTGGACCCTCTCTAGCTTGTCTGGGTCCTTTTAAAAACACATAGCCCACAACTGTACCCATTACTCTATATTGGGTCTAAACAAAGCCAAGTAAAGAGGTGTTTTTATTACTCTTCCTAAGATATAGCACCATGTATTTGCGAGCATTGAACTTCAGCCTCTTGGCTGTAGCCCATTTCCCAGTCTGTCAAAATCTTTCTGAACTATGCTCAGTTCCTCCAGTATGTTCAAAGTCCTTCCCAGTTTGTATCTTCTGCAAATTTGCTCAAGAAGCTGCCTATTTGAGCATCAAAATAATTTAATAAACATGTTGAATGACACTGCCCAGGACAGACACCTTTCGGGCTTCACTGGAAACCTTTTGCCATTCTGACATGGCTTCCTTTATAATTATCCTCTGCTTGTGGCCATTGAGCCTGTTGTCTGTGCACCTTATAGTAAATTGTTTGGCACATATTTCTGCACTTTGTACATGCAAAAGTCATATCGGACTTTGCCAAAAGCCTTGCTGAAATCTAAATACACTGTATCCACAGCATTCCCTTCATCCATCCAACTAGTTGTTTGTCAAGGAAGAGGACAAGTATCCCCTTTTCTGAAGCAATTTTCAAAAGAAAAGTGGAGGTATGTCAAACTGTGGACTGTAAGTTCATTTTGACATAAAATGAGTAATATCTCTGAAATTAAGAACAGGTAAGTGTCTGCAGGAGCAGGGGGACAGATGGGGGAGGGAGTGTTAGGGAGATATGGGGGAAGTGGGAGACGAGAGCTTGAAGCTGTGCGAGGCAGGCACAAGGGAAGTAAGGTGGGGTGTGGAGACAAGAGGCAAAGAGCAAGTGGCCTGCCCCTTTCCTACTGCCTCCTCGCCACCTGGCCCCCTACCACTTTCCCACCACTGCCTGATCCCTACCACCTGCCCTACCACTGCTTTCTCTGCTACAGCGCAGGGGGGGGCACAAATTTAAAATAGCCCTCCAATAATTAGATTCTATATATGGAAAATAATAAATGTATTTTCCCTGCATAGAATCTAATTATTGGAGGATCATCTTAAATTCATGGTCATCTTGCATTCCGGAAAATATGGTATATACTCAGCCCACCTTGCTCTGTGGGTAATTAGCTTGGTGTTTTCTGCCGGTGTTACTCTGGAACTAAGTGGCCTTGCTTAGAGGACAGTTTGCCTTTGTCATAACCCAAAGGTATGATTTTGTGCGTGCTTCGGCACTAGAATTATCCCCGCCAAATTACAGCTTCGTTGCACGGTAGAGTTTTCTGCTGCAGAGGAGAACCCCGGTGCAAGGAAGAGTTTCCCGCCAATTTGTGGCTTCCTTTGCAGAGTGCATTGCTCAAGTTGCAAGGGAAACGCACGGTGCAAAGGAGTTCCCGCCACCCGCATGCAAATTGGTTCCCCGTTATTGGCTAGTTCTAAATTATTCCCACGTGGCGGCTAACGATTGGCCTGTTAGCCGTATAAGAGGCTTGAGCGGTTTCCGCCCAAGCTGAAGAGAACTCACATCCATCTCGTGGGGACTCTGGATACACGGCAGGGTAATAGAGACCCTGTGTGAGATTCAGAGGAGTTTGGCGACCTGATCCATCGCCCACCTCTTCCCGTCTTCGAGCGATAAATTTTATAAGACGTATCTACGAAGTTTCTATTTCGGTGGCGCATTTGTCCAGAGCATCCGGAGCTCTGTTTCCGTGGAGCCTAGCAAACTCCACGTGATCGTTCGTGTTGTTTTTGTCTGTAACCGCAACTCAAGCAAGTTTTCCAGCCTACACCGCAACCATCTTCGGTGTAAGTAAACAATCTTTAAATCTACCACTACGAGTCTGTGCCTAATTCTAGCTTGTCGCCCGTTCTCTCCGACCCCGCGTGCCCGGGCTGCTGGCCACAGCCTGCGTGCAGCACGAAAAAGGGCTCGGGTCGTGCCCGGCCCGCACAGCCTTCTAACAATGACTCTTATAAATAAAGGATGTTGGTTAAAGAACTCATAGCTGTTAGGAGATAATTCTAAACATTTCTAGTTTAGTCCTCATTATTTACCTAATAGGTCAGAAATCAGGAAAAAAATAGGTCATTGCTTGGTATCTTTAATTACATTGCAGTGTTTTTAAATTGTGTGTTGTAGTATGACAAGATTGTTACTATTATTTTTACTTTGAATTTTTAATAGTTCTTTCATTTGAGGATTTCATGACTGAGAGGGAAGTAAACCAGGTATTGAAGCAGATATTATGAGGAAGTTTATCAGCATGTCTGTCAAGGCATTTTATAGGATCCTTATCACTGCAGTAACCTATGGTGACCTGTCTTCTTTGATCTCCTTTTCATTCATCTTCTGCTGATTGAGTTCTTTAAAGCTTGGGGGTTTTATTTGACATGCATGCTGGGCTACATAGCCTTTCCATACTGAGTAATTTGACTCAACCAAAGGACCAGGTATTTGCATTAGTACCAGCTGCTAAGGATGGAGATTCGTATCTGTACTCTAGATCTTTTCTTAACATAATATAGCATTTAGAAACATTATGTAAGTTGCATCTTGCTTCTCACTGCACTGTGTGATGAATTTTTAAATAACTATCCTTTGCTTTCATCCTTGTAATAGTACCTACCTCTTATAGTGCTCTTCTTCAGTAGATCTCAGAAGTGCTTTACAAGAAAAGTCCTGTGGAATTCAGTGGAACTACTGGCTGCAGGATCAGATCATAATTATAAATAATTATTTTTGTTATAGATAGCATATACTTGTCCCTACAGTGCTTATAATTATTTTTGTGACAGTAGCATGCAGAAGTCTTAGTGCTAGGACTGGGACCACAACAGAAAGTCAGTCACTTCTTATATACTTATAATGTAAGTATAAAACATGAGATAACAGATGGATGCAGACAAACAATCCGACACTTTGTTAGAAAAGACTTCTATAAAATATAGGCTAAGCATAATTCTTTTGCAGCAGCAGTGGCCATCAAGTCTTGTAATCAATTTGCAGCCAATGATGTTTAATACTGAGCGGTGACCTGGAGAGACAAGTGATTCCAGTGAATGGTCCTCCATCTTAAATGAGGCAGATGGAGATTTTGTCTTGTTCAGTTGAAAAAGTAGTATTGGCTCATAAGACCTACAGCCTCTGAAAGCTACACCATACAAAACAGATGGGGACACCTGTACTCTGCTCCATTTAGTGAAATTTGCATGAGGTTTGTATGCTGATACCAGTATAAGCACAAAAATCATTCCATTCAAGTGGCAAGGAGGTTCCTGTGCAAAACTTGAGGGTTCCTGTTGGTAACAAGCTCATATTTTGAAAGCTGGGTCCACTCTCCCTATAACATATTTTTAAATTGATGTGTAAATTATATAACTCTTTCCAGCTATTACTGTATTTTTTCATTTTCTTCCTTTTTCTCTCTTTTTTTTTTTTTATATACCCACAAGTCACTTTAGTGTTCCAGGGAGCATATCTTTTGCAAGAGACAAAGCCCTGTGTGAGGGCCATCTTTTGAAGCAGAAATCCATTGCTGGTTATCTGAATTTCTTTGGCTCAAAAACAGAAAAAAAAAAATTGAGCTTTGCTAAGCCAGATCGAGTAGACCCACTGGATGTGAGAATCAGTAAGTTCATAATGATACATGAAATGGCATTTCATAAGATAAGAGGGGACAGAGATTGTATAACGTTTTTACATGGCTGCACTTCTGGCTGGAGTGCAGGACTAGGAGTTATAGGGTGTGGGTCCTGGTGGGCAGCTGTGCCACAAACTTCCTTTTTGACCTTTGGAAAGTCAGCTTCTTTGTACGTCAGTTTCCAGAGCTGAGACCTGGAAATTGTGAGGATCAGGATGATACTTAACTCCCCTGTGAAGTATTCTGAGGATTGATTAATTGAGAATTGTGATTTACTTGACTGAAAGGTGATGCTACTATGGGTATGAATTATAAAAAAGCATCGGAGTTGGAGTGACAATACTGATTCTGAAATGAGGCAGATGGTGGTTGTCATTTCCCACTCTTTGGCCACCAGAGGTCAGGTTTGAATCCTTAGTCTTCAATCCATTACATTTTCTACACTGGTCTATACTGTAGATATTTTCTGATCCAATTCTTGGTACATGTGTACAATAATTGGCAAAGTGCCAGTGAATGACAAACGAACAACTGCAAGTATGCTTCAATATATGTAGAGGCATACCACACCGATCCAACTAATAATCTGATATCTCGTATTGAAATACATATCATGCATAATCTACCTGCCAGATATGCAGACATCAGTCTAATGATCATTGAGAATAAATGGTCAAAAGCAGTTATAATATGGTTCTGCAGTTAGAGTATGGACAGCTCAACAATATTATAACCAGAAGCATTCCTGACAACTACTCTCTAATGCTCTCCAGTGCAGCATAGTTTGGACCTCCTCCTGTTATGGGCAGGCCTATGAGAAGTGTTAAATAACAAGTGTAATGCAGAGCACAGCATGAAGGTTACTGGGAAGGCATTCAAGAGCCTGCTTTTTAGCATGCAAATGGTAATACACCGTGCAGGCTGCATGACCAGGAATGGATGTAGCTGAAGAACTTAATCCTAGACCACATCTGCCTTGTTTATTTTGCAGCTCTGTTTAAATCTCCCTTTCCCATGACTCTGGAGACCCGTGACTTATGTGATCAGTTCCACACATTACATTTTAGCTTTCCAGCAGTTACTGTCTTCATAATTAAGACTGTTGGAGCCTTTTCTTCTACAGGCTTTTGATAAACAGCTACACTCCTTCTGAGGAGTTCTCTTTGTTAGATATAGTTTGCTTATGTTCAGACTTGGATGGATTTTTTTCTCCTCCAGTGTAATTTTTGGTGCTGAAAATATTAATTATTATACTTAGGGCTCTCACCTCTAATTATAGTAGTAATATTTGCATTCCCATATCTCCTTTTTATTCAAAAATCTCATTGAATTAGTTTATCCCCATAGCACCCTTCTAAAGAAGGCAAATATGAATGTTTCCACTGTACTGTTTGGAGAAACTGCTCAAATGTCTGGGCTACAGGAAGTATTTGCAATAGCATCTAGTTCTTCCAGCTTTAGCTTGTGCCAGAAGAAGCTGTGACCTCAGGTTTACTCTACTCTTCCTTTTATTGTTGGTAGAGCTGGTAGCACAGACTTGCTGAGGTTACCCATTGCTACGCATTGTAAGACCCTCTGTTCAGTTGTTTGCCACTTACCCAAATTAACTGTTTGGTCTGTAGTTTTCTGCCAATTTCAGCCAGTTCTTAGAATGAGATTAAGGAAAAACATCCAGTTTTGTCATTTACAACCATTCTGGCATTCTTTTCTAACTCAGTAATAGTGTCCCTGTGCTGCACAGCAGGTGGTTGAGATTTGGTGGGGAGAGGGTGTCCCCATTGCACCTAGGGCTGACTAGACTGTGCATTGACAAACCCCAGGAGTTGCCACCTAGATTCTCACTTCATATGTGCTTTTCTTACCAGGAAACTCAGCATGCTGCAGCCTAGGGCTTCAGGGGCAAAGCCAGGCTTTCCCTGCACTTGCTGCACTTGAGTGCAGTGAGCCCAGACACCAGAACTGCAGACATGGAGCCTGTCTTGCTTTTCTTTTGGTCATAGGATATGGACAGGCATTCAAACTGAATGCTAAACATTGCCAGCACCATGAACATTTGGTGAGAAGGGGGCCATACAGCCTCTGCAGTCATGAGCCCTTCAGTCAGAGGGCAATAGAAGGCTTCTCCTTTGTTCCCACCTACCCTAGAGGAAGCTGATCATTGACAGCCTGCCCACTCTCCTGCTGGGGCAGCGGGCAGGCTGCCAATGAGCAGCTGCTGGCTGCTGAAAAGTAGCAGCTACCAATGACACTTCCCCCCTCTCCTTTGGGGTGAAGAGACAAAGGCATAGCAAGCTTCTTCGGTGCCCAAGGCATGTGTTATGGGGAGGGGATTATGCCATTGGGGATGGAATCTTACCTGTCTCCCTGCTGCACTCAAGTGGAAGCTGCTACTGCTGTAGCTGCTACTGTGTGATGTGGGTTTGCGCTACTGCCTCTGGGGAATATGCTCACTGAACACCAGCAGCAGCAGGCCTGTGGCACAGACTCCCCAGGAGCTCCTGGTGCTCCATTCACTCTCCTCTCCCACCCAAATATGCTACGGGTAAGAACCTTCTTAATTTGTAGCTTTGCAGTGTTCGTGGAAACCATGAAATACTGGATTGTCTGCAAAATCCACAAAATCAACAACAACAAAAAAATGCTGGCTCCCCAGTGGGAGTCAGTGGTCCTCACTACTGGGAGGGCAAGGCACCGGCTGGTGGGGCAGCATGAAAGGCATCAGACAAGATGGCAGCTATCCCCTTGTCCCTCCTTCCTCTGCCAGAGCCTCTGCCAATCAGCGCCGAGGGGCAGGCCCACTGCTAAGTACCCATGGAATTGGTTCTGGGCACCAGGAGCAGGCCACAAATAACCCTTTGTCTCACTGCAATTTAACTAGGTCCCTAGGTATGGGGCACAGAGCTGCACCCTCTGTGGCAGAGACTTTGGGAGGTGGGCGGTGCCATTCTACTCAACCCCCTGGCTCTGCCCTCCCCCTCCCCCTGGATATGCTACTGGTTGAAGGACTGCACCTGCCCAGCTCCTCTGGCCAGGCGATATGAGGCTATTCCTTCCACAGCAAAGATTCCTAGGATGTGGGGGACAGATCAGAGTCCCTTCTAAGATGGTGCCTAAGGGTGGTGCCCCATTCACCTCCCCCTCCTAGTAATGCTATTGTGAGGAGAACTACTCATGCTTCACCTCCATGCCTGGGCATTCCCCCACTCCTTGCACAGTCTTAGGAAGCCTAACACCCTGCAAGTGGTGGGAAGCAGTGACACAACCATTCAAATTGTCCTGGGGCTACCCAGAACAGCGCAAACTGTGGGAAAATGCCTCTGACCCCTTGCACTGTTTACCCTGCCTTCTCCATGCAAGTGGCCCAGGGAAGTGATGCTATTGCTTGGACTGTCTTGGGGCTCTCTGGGACAGTTCAAGCTATGGGAGATGTCGTGTCCATGTCTCCTCCCCCGCCCCGGCATAGTCCTAGGAAGACCCAAGACTGTGCAATGGATGGAGGCATTCCCTTATGACTTGAACCATCTTGAGGAGCTCCAGTATTGTTCAAGCAGCATTGAGAAGGTGTTCTGCCCTTTCAGCATCAGGGAGCTGGGTGCACACAGCCTCAGTGCTGTTCAAAGGGTGGGAGTCATGCTGGGCTTTGAAGAGTCTGAATGTTGTCCAAGCAGCTGGCAGCAGGGTCCCTGTGGGGCTCCCTGCCAGCTTGATGGACCATCAGGGAGACAGTGCTGCCCCTCCCTCCTGCCTCCTTGGCAGGGAGCGGGGAGAGCACAGGACTGTGTGATAGTGGGAATCCTAGGGACTAGAAAAAAATCTCTCTCCAAAGAAGTTGCAAGTGGGATATGCTAGCATTTTTTTTGTGGAAGGGCAGGCTTTGAGGCTCTTTTTGTCAGGAAAAAAGGCATTTTTTCTGACACAAATGTAACATCTTTCCATAGTTTCAGTGATCCCTCTACTAGTGCACAGGCAGCAGGTAGAAGGGGCTTTCTAACTCAAATTTGGAGGAAATAAGAATCAGAGCCAGGGGGAGAGAAGTGCAAGACAAGGGACCTGGTGAAACTGTAACTAAAGGCTGGGCAAGGAGCGAAACTGAATGACTGTGAGCAGTGTTGGGTAATATTTGAGACTGTTTGGGTGAAAAGACTTATAGTTTCATAGTTTCATAGTTTTCGGGTCGGAAGGGACCTAATAGATCTTCTAGCCCGACCCCCCGCCAGGGCGGGAGAACAACACTTAGGCACTGGTAATATGTAAGGAGGTGCCAATCTCAGAGAGTTTTAATGAAACCTGCTTCACCATCTTCTCAGCCCCCAATATTTCACAGTCCTAAACTGTTCATTCTTGTCAAAGCCTGACAGTTACTTTTGCTTCCATGGAAACTGCTTGGAGAGGGCCAAGAAAACTGACATGCTATGTAAGGCAGCAAGTTTTCAACTTTTTCCAATGCTTACGGTTAAAGGAGTTTCCATGCCCTTCCTAACAGGTAGAAGTTCTACTCCTAGAAGACCTTATGGTTCTAACAAAGAGAAAAATCAGAGCCATCCTAAAATGTCCAATGCTGAGACCCTGGTGGCAGCACTGGCGAAGAAGAATGGTATTGCATCTTTGCAGCTGGATCTCATGCCTCTCCTCTCAGGTATTGTTCACTGTCGATGGTATGTGGTGGTCTCCCAAACACATGCTAGAAGCGATTATGGAAGTTACTTTTAATTGATACTCAAGGAGTGTTGTGTTCCAGCTGGTGAGAAGTAAAATGTTTAAAAGGTTTATCTGAGGTTTAGACTTGAACCAAAGAAGCCTTGCACATAGCTCTGCATGCTTTGAGGGACATTAGACATTTACATGACTCCTGTAAATTTGGCAGTATGGAGATAAACTTCAGTGGATCTTCTTTTGTTCGGTATCTTCTTGAAGTGGAGTATTTGTCAGAGGAAGACAGGTTAACTTCTGAAAAGTATGTATTCACACTTCAGCACAGTGTAGTCAAGCTTGCAAAGCTAGTTGAAAGATAGTTTGAGATAATAGTCTAGCCACAGTAACATGATTTAGCCTGCACTGAGCTCCATTCCGGCACAGTGCAGCTGCTACAAGTACTCAAGCAAGGATACTTTCAGTTTGCTGGATGTCTGCTCTACAGTACCTTTGAAATACTATCTAGGATTAAGGTTAAAGTCTCAAATTAGCATGAACTGTTGTTGTTACCCTGGCCATTAGGTATGCTGCTCTAATTCCCCTTCTTTGTTTTGTAGAAAAGCTGTAAATAAATAGTCTTTGCTTTATATTCTCCAGGCACCATACTAAGTTCAAGGGAAAGCCTGATGAGAAGAAAGAGGTAGCAATGGGAATAGAGGGACGAATGAAGTGAATGTTGATAGCAGCCTAAAAATGCTACCAACTCACCTGTAATATTCTATACATAGGAGCATATACTTTGACTTCAGTGAGACTACACAGTGCACAAGAGTTAAATCTTCGCAGAAATAGCCCTTACACAGAAACTATCCAAATCTCTTTTAGGGACTTAATCTTTACTCTTGAAAGACATCTGTGTATATATCTCTGTATCTTTTTTCTTGTTATGGGGTATGTATATCTGAGAGTACATATCCTGAGGCAAATACAGAACCATAGAAAAGTAGGGCTGGAAGGGGTCTCCCAAAGACATCTGGTCCAGCCCCTGCTCAAGGCAGAATCATTCCTGACAAAGCACCCCATCCAGATGTCTTTTTGATCTGCTCTTGAAAACTTCCAAGGATAGAGATTCTACAACTCCTCTAGGTAACCTGTTCCAATACTTGACCACCCTCTGTCATGCCAGGTCATAGGGGTTACCTCTATGTATGGGGGTCACCTCAGGCCTAGGAGAAGCAACTTGAGGTCCATGGGGAGCATGCTGAGTCAGAGTGTAGGGAATCCAGAAGCCAGAAATTCTGTCCAGGGAACCAAGTCAAAGATCTAGAGAGTCAGGCAGAGCACAGGGTCAGGAGGCTAGCTAGGTCAGGTATCTGGAAAGTGTCAGGAAGCCAGTAGCAGCATAAGCCAAGGGTGCAACAGTTTGAGCACAGAGTTGAACCTTGTTACTCAGATGCTTCCTCTTCCAAGTCAGGGGTTTATATTGGAAGGGATGAGGGGTCAGCTCAGCCTGGCTGGCCATTCCAATAATAGGGAGTGGGCATGAAGCAAGGCCCAGCTAGTGGTTTCTGGCCACCTGTGTCCACCCCAGTGCTTTACTTCAGAGGTGGCAGACCAGGATGAGTGATTGTGCCAGGCAAGTTGAAGTCCTAGGTTCAGTGTCACAGTCTGACACCCTCATAGTTAGGAAGTTCTTCCTAATCTCTAACATGAATTTTCCCTGCTGCAGCTTAGGGTTCCTAGTCCTGTCCTGTGAATTACTGCCTAGGTATTTGAAGACTTCTGTCAAATCCTCCTTCAATCATTTCTTCTCCAGACTAAATAACCCTAGTTCTTTCAGTCTTTCCTCTTAAATCTTGCCTCTGAGACCCCCGATCATTTTGTTACCCTGTGCTGGCCTCTTTCCAAACTGGCCACATCCTTTTTGAAGTGTGTGGCCCAAAACTGGAGACAGTACTCCAAATGAGGCTCCATCAGTGCTGAATAGAGTGAAAGAATTACTTTCCTTGATTTTTAAGTGACACTGCTGTTATTACAACCCTGTACTGTTGGCTTATTTTGCAATAAGAGCACGCTGTTGATTCATATTTACCTGAGGGTCTACTGTAACCCCCCAGGTCCTACTCTGCAGTACTGCAGCCTACCCAGTCATTTCCTAGTCTATATTTATGCGTGCAGTTATTCTGGTCAGGCTGAGGTCAGGCTGACTGGGCTGTAGTTGCTTGGGTCCTCCTTCCTCCTTTTCTTAAAGAGTCATTATATTTACCCTTCTCCAATCATCTGGGATGTCACCTGGACCTCTGTGACTTCTCAAAGAGGATAGCCAATGGATCTGAAATTATGTAAACCAATTCCCTAAGGGTGCATCCCATCCAACCCTGATGACTTATAAGCAGCTAGCTTCTTGAAGTAATCCCAAACCTATTCCTCTGCTACTCTAAGCTCCTTCCCTATTTTTTAAGCCCACTGCTCTCATCATTTAGTAGCTGCCCTGACCTGTCAAGATTGAAGTAAGAAAGGCACTTCAGCCTTTTCTGTATTATCCATAACTAGATTGCCTCCCATATTCCGTAAGGGACCTATGGTTTCTTTGGTCTTCCACCTCTTGAAATACTTGCCTTTTGTGTCCCTTACCACTTGCATCTCAAACTGTGCTTTGGCCTTCCTAACTTTCTCCCTGCATGTGTGCACAATATTCTTAAACTCTTCCCTAGTTCTATGACCAAGTTTCTACTTTTTGAAGGATTCCTTTTGGAGTTTCAGCACATTGAAGAGATTGCTGTCTAGACAGGCTGGCCTCCAGTTGCACTCCCCAATCTTCCATTGCATTAGGATAGCTTACTCCTGTGCCCTTAAGAGGGTCTCCTTGAAATACAGCCAGCTCTCCTGGACTCCATTTCCCTTCAAACTTGCCTCCCAAGGTATCCTGTCCACCAGGTCCCTGAGTTAGTTGAAGTCTGCTTTTCTGAGGTCCAGAGTCCTTATTCTGCTTCTCTCCTTCCTTCATGTCCCTAGGATCTTAAACTGTATTATTTCATGGTCACCGTCACCCAGTTTTCCTTTCACTTCCACATTCTCAACCAAGAAGTTAAGTGGATGCAGACTGGCAGCTGCGGGCTTGGGTCTCCCTGCCCTGCTGCCCTCCCCCTGGGGGCCTCCACGGCCCAGCAGGCGGGACCTGGCGCAGCAGAGCAGAGCAGGGTGGGGAGGTTCAGGGCTGCCACCGAAAGCCCCATGCTGCCATGGCAAGGTGCTCCCTGCCCACCCAGCAGCAGTGTGGGGGACAACTCTGTGCCGCTACACCTGCTGCTGCTGGGCAGGCAGGGGGCTTCCTGCAGTGGCACCAAGCCTCCCTGCCTGGCTCTGACCTGACACACTGGGACCCGCCCTCTGGGCCATGGAAGCTCCCAGAGGGAAGGCAGCGGGGTGGGGAGCCCCAAACCAGCAGTTGGCAGCCCGCATCTTCCCCCACCAAATGCACAAATCTAGGGGGCACATGCACCCCTATGCCTCCCCAGGAGTGTGCACAGTGGCAGGGAGCCAGCTTCCCCCACTGTCCCGCCAGACGAGCAACCCATGACTCCATCTTGCTCCCTGCTCAGGCCCTTCAAGCGCACATTCCCACCCCAGCGCTAGGCTCTAAGCCCCAGGCCCCACATACCACCCAGACTGGGCAGCATCCGCAGCCCCAACCCTGCTCTACTCCCTCCCTCGCTCCCTCACTATGGGGCCTCAATCCCCCCCACCCTCCCAATTTACCTGTGGGAGCTGCTCGCCACACTGTCTGGTAGACATGTGCATGCGTGCACATGCACATAGATGTGGCACTCCCTGCCTGATCATCCTCCTCCCACTTCCCCCAGTCCCTCACAGGCTGCAACTCTGCCAGCCTGCAAGGGGAAACCTGTCGTTTCCTGCATTTTTATCCTTTAAAGATGAAAATCTGCATTTTTCTCCTTAAAATGAGAAAATCCATGTTTTTCCAGGTTTTTTCCAAGGCAAACCGAAAACCCCGATCCCTGCTAATAAGTAACTGTGCTCAGACTGTGGTCATTCCTGCAGTCAGTGGTCTGACCAGACGGTTCCACTTTGTTTGCTGATAAAGTATTATTAAATAATGATTTGGAAATCAGGAACACTATTCTTTATTAAAGCATTTTAAATTAATTTTTAACTTTTGTCTATCTAATTAAGTTCTCTCCCTCTGACATTTCAAACCCAGATATGTTTCTCTACCCAAATTACTTCAGATAATGTTTCAAACGTAACCAAAGTCTGAAGGATTTATTTATATTTAGAAAGCCCATTACAATTATTAATTTTCATACAGGTCCTCTTGTAAATCAGTAGATATAAAATTCTATGTTTCAGATTTCTTGTCTTTATTCTTCAAGGCCTTCTTTCTTTTTTGTTCACAATTTGCCGTTTCATGTTTCTGTTTTGTGATTCTGCCTCTGTCAGGAACTGCTTATGTTTTCACAGTGGTCTTTTAGAAGTTTTAATCTGCTGAATCCTCTAACTCCTTCTTCCTTATCTTTTATGGTGTGCTGTTGTCCTTCCTGGGTAAACAGAAGCTTAAAAGGATAGCTCCATCGGAATTCTATTTTTACTTCTCTGAGACAGATTGTAATCTCTTTCAGTTTTTGTCTTTTCTTTTGAGTGGAGTACAATATAGCTTGGAAAATCTGTAGTTTGGATCCACCTAATTTAAGAGCAGACAGTTGATCTTTTCATAATCTGTTCTTTTTGTTGAAGTAATGCATTACCACATTCTCTTGCATATAACAGTCCCTGGAATATAATACACAACTTGTTATTGAAAGGCAGAATGAAGAAGAAAAGGTGTTTCCAGAGTTATGGTTATATAAAGCAAGGACCAACTCTAATCTTTAGCTGACTCATCCTCCCTAGCTGCTGCTGCAGACTGGCCTCTATAGGTGGACCTATGACTTTGGAAAGAGCTAAAGAGTCTCCAGGGCTGTGAAATAAGAGAAAAGGGACCAGAAGTAGCTAGCAGGCAGTAGAATTAACCTAAGAAAACTTAGCTTGATTATTGGAATATCAGGATCATTAAAAAGGAGAGATGATTATTAGCATCTCTGGGGTGAAGAACAATGAGTCATTAAGCTAACTGATTCCCTCCATTGCCTGAATAACATGGATTCTGGTTTTCTCTCTTAAAAAATAAAAAAATTTCTGATTATTTACAATTTTATTTACAATTTCAAAGCAATTTGAAAGCCTACCGGTGTCTCAGTCATTATAATAAAATAAATTCTACATACCCATATATTTTAGAATTTGATTTACTTTTTATCATGGAAAATCAGAGCTCCCCCTGTCCCCTTTGCTCACCAGGACATGGATCCATCTGTGTCTGTCCGCCCCCTGGTTTGTGGTACTGAGCATCTCTGGTATGTCCCTCACTCCCAAGTCACCATTCCTCCCAGGCCTGCCAGGATGACCCCGCACCTCCTGCCCTGCCATCACCAGCCCAACTGGCATGACCCACAGAATGACCTGGCCTTAGGGGTGGGCAGCAAGGGCAACTGTCCAGGGCACTGAGGTGGGGGCATCACGGCACCCCAGGGCAGGGCCCTGCGTCAGCTCAGACAGGGGTAAGGGAGGAGGCAGTGAGCTGGGGATATCCCATATTCCCAAGGCACCAGAGGGCAATGGCGGGACACATGCCCCCCTCCCCCTGATTACTGCAGGGCACAGGGCTGGCAGACTTGCCAGACTGACTTGGTGCTGCCACTGCCACTAGGAGCCCTGCACCAGCGACATTGCCATGACTGCTAAGGTGAGGCATCCCTGGCTGCCTAGCAGCAGCAAGGGCAACAGCAGCAGTGTACTGGTTTGTGTGGCTGGCAATGAAGCAAATCTGGCCCCGGTGCAACTGAAGCAGGGAGGAGGTGCCTGTGGCACCTCCACGCCCTGGACTGGGGCTCCCATGTTGCGCCAGTCAGCCTGACCATGACCACTCTACTTCCCAGGCAGTGTCTCTTGGACACCCCTCCCCTGCCCCTGAGAGTATGGCCACTGGCCCCTGGCACAGTTGGCGCCAGCCATGCAGCTCCCAGCCACCCCTGAAGGACCACCCACCCTGTCCTCCTCCCCTACTGAAAGGGCAGGCACCCCCAGGCAGGCTCTGCTGGTAATAGCGTGGAGCTGGGCTCCCTGGCAACACTGAGCACGGCCTCAGACCCCGCTACCTCACTGCAGCCCTGGTACCTAGACAGCTCCCAGCACTAGCAGGCACCTGCAGTATGTCACACACACATGCCCCCCTCCCCCCCCACACACACACACACTCATCCCTTCCACACACACCCTCATCCCCCTCAAAATCTCACACCCCCTCCACACACACATCCCTCCACACACCCCGTCATACACAAACACCCCCACACACAGACATTCCCCCCACCCCCACACACATACACAGGCCCTCAGACAGACCCCAAATCCTGGCCCTCCACCCCTGCCCCCATCCCTAACCCTAATCACCCCCATCCCATAGATTTACCTGTATCCAGCTGCTGGAGCTGCTCCCATCACCCTGCCTGGCTGTATTGCTGGTCATGTGTGTGCGGCGTGCACATGCACGTGGGCCCCTGCCTCCAATCACCCTCCCCCCATTCCCTCAGCCCCAAGGAGCTTGGTTTCCCACATCAAAGGGGAAATCTGCATTTTTCTCTTTTAAAAGGGAAAACCCACATCCCTGCCAAATAGTAATGCAATGGTTGGTGTGCTATGGAGCAGGAATCAAAGCAGGATGCTTCTTAGTCAGAAAATCATCTTACCCATGTAATACAGGCACCCCAATTTTAGGGGTCTGACTTTTTGGGGATGTTGTATGTGAGAAAGTATAGTATGCTCTAGGTCTGTTTGTGTTGGGGAGAAACACAGAGAGCTCTGTGTGCTCCATCTATGAATATTAGTATGTTTGGCTCCAGTTCTAAAACGTTTTGTATTGCTTGTTTTAAGAATAGTAAGGTACTCTTTCTCCACTCCTTCAGAGAGACCTCTGATTCTTGCATAGTTTCTGTTATGTGCACAGTTTTACAGAGCTTCTCTTTTCTGCAAGCGGCTTTTGTTTTTTTCTTTTTCCTATGAGATTAATTTTATTTTGGAGTTCTATATTGGCTTCAAATTTCTTATGTATATTTTTCTCAACAATTGTAACTCTGCTCCTAATTTCTGCCATAGCTACTGTAATTTTATCAAACTTTACTTCTGTAATGACTTTGATAGCACTGAATAAACTGGTGATATAAACTGGTGGTATAAACTCACCAGAGTTGTCTGTGGTAACAAAAGCTTCTGCATTTTAGCTTCAGTGCTTTGTTTGATCCTCTGCATTCTGCCTTGCCTGCTTTATTACCACTTCCAGAAACCATGTTTGATTCTTCAGGGTTTGTGTGCTACTTCACAGTTTCTTCTTCTTGTGAGTTTCTTTCGAGAAGATAGCTTCTCATATCAGCCTCCTTCTTTCTGTGTGGCTGTCCTCTAACATTTAGGGGAAAATGTTTCTGGAGTTTGAAATGAGTTAAAGAGAGGTGATGCCTTTGAATTTTGCCAGATTCCCCGCTGGAGTTCTGACTTTAAACCTGCCTTCTTCCCTAGTGACATCACATGACCCCCAAGAGTGACTTTTAAAATTTCATTTTAAATTTTGTTTCAGTGTCTGTCTTTCACTAACTGAAGCCAAGGTATTAAGCACAGTGTTTCTTTGATGCAGCTACTTTTATAGCATGTAATACTTAATTTTTTTCCCATAGGAGAAAAGTCAGTGACCAGTCACCTGAAAGAAAAATCCCCTAAAGTTTTAGATGCTTATTTGACTTTCACAGTGGAAACGCCTCTCATGTCAGAGAGACAGAGATGTGAACTGAATCCACTGATTATAAGAATTCTTTCTGCTACATACCTCCCAACAACTCCTGTGCCAATTGAACGGCTGCAGGTAATACACACCATTACTCTTTCTGTAGGATTCCACTTCACAAATAACCCTCAGTGATTTTATTTTAAAAAAACAGTTTTGAGCAATAATTATTCCTTATTTGCTAGGGTCTGCTTCAGTCAAATTTCAAAATGTGTGCATAAAGCGTTAGACTTTCTGAAAAGAAGGTCTGGCCAGATTATTGCTTTTCACTGCATTGTGTGCACTCCGGCAACAAAACAATGCACCTTACCTGGGCCAGGAGTTACAGGTTGTATCTTCAGTAACTGAGCTTTGATTCCTAAACATGGTTTTTCCCATATAATTCCTTATATGAACTGCTGAATTCATAGTACCAGGTAGTTTAAAACAGTTTATAGATTTGCTTCTTGATTTTTTTTTTTTTAATTTGACTATGTTAAAAATAATTTATGAAATTCGTTGACGTTTCCTATGTTGAAAATATTATTTAATGAAAGAAACTGGATGTTACATCTTAACAAGGCTAAGAAAAATAAATAAATATCCAAAGTCTTTCTGTAAGGTGAGAATTCAGCTTCACCGATAAAAATAAAATAAAAAGTGCTCAGTTTACTTGAGATATAAACAATCACAATTTTAACAGTGGTCTCTAATTTTGGGTGCCCTTCTTGAGCCATCTAAGTCTGATGTTTCAGAAATGATCAGCACCACAGCTGCCATTGACTTCATCTGGAATGCTGAGGGCTCAAGCACTTCTTCCAGAAGGATGATCAGGTCTAAGTTGTGTAGATTTGGGACCCCAAATCAGTACCCGTTTTTGAAAACATTAGTCTGAGAATGTCAATATTACATCAGAAGATTTCATGGAGAAATGTGTAACTCTGCAGTAGAATTTCAAAATACCATTCATTCATTCATCAATTTGGACAAATTAGCTAAGGATTTTTGGAAAACAACAGGAAAAAATAGTAGTAGGAACTGTGCAACATAAGTAAAATGGAAGTAAAATATGTAAAATGGTTTCTAATAGGTTCTAGGCAGCACAGTGTTTTCTTACCTGTCTTCCTCTTTTTCTCCCATACAACATGTGTATGGAGTAAAAGGTGACAAAATGGCTCGAGCATAGCTATGGTGGGATCAGTTTGTCCTCTGCCAACAAGTTTTATTTTGCACAAACCACCATTGTGTGTAAATCAATAATGGTGAAAAGTGCCAGTAGAACAGCAAAAGAATGCTGTGTCATTTCTCAGAATAGCTATGAGATCCATTGAAAAGGTGATGTGGAAAAGTTTGCAGAATTCCTTGCCCCTCCTGGTCCTATGGATAATTTTTTTTCTAATTTACATCTGTAGGCATCCATCCTGGGTTTCAGATGCCCTTTGATAGTATAGTTGAACACACACAAAGCTGTACAAAAATGTTATACAAAGTGCAATCTGTGGCTTCTTTTGCAACAGGAAAACATATTGATATGGGAGAAGATTCACTGCTGATGAGGTTAGGTTGTACTTCAGACTTCAGATTTCTTTCTGGAGCCATGGAATTGTCAGACACCTTACCTGCTCCGGTATTCATTTTGGGCTCACTTGTTGCAATTCTGGATCTTTCATGGTTCTTCCTGCAAGCCACTTCCTACTGGCACACCTTGGTCCATGGTTTGTTTGCCTCATAAAGGAACTAGAGAAGTAAACTTCCCTAGGTTTTCCTGCTACTAGAGAGGTTATGAACAAACATGCACTTGTTGTGGGCTTCAAAAGAGTACAGGGGGCTGCTGCTCTGGAGTGTGCAACAGTGGAGTGTGCAACTGTACTTGTTTCACCTGCATGGACCCGTTGTGATACAAGTGTTGCAAAAACACTTCTACTTCAAACCTGCTTCATCCAGTATCAAAGTTGGGGGAGGGTATGCAGCTTGCTTGTTTCCTTTCAGGTATGTGCAGATATAACAATTACAGCAGAACAGTTGCTGCTTACTGCTGAGCAGCAGTTCTCCCTCCTCTTTTGGGGCACAGACAGAAGTGACAATTTTTGCCCATTCTGGCCACATAAAGTGGCCTCTAGCCATGACCAAACACAAGTGTACAGCTGCAGACTGCTTCAAAAATGGCTGATTGGGTGAAAACCTGAACACTCATTGCATGAGGGTTCACATAAAAATGTTTCAAAACAAAGCATTTTCTGTCATTTCTGTCTGCACTGCCTGCCAGCTTGTTGCTGTTTCAGAATGGGAGGGGGGAAAGGAAGTGGAGGGAATTTAGTCTGGAGTTTTTTCAGCCTCTGCTGAAGGGTGAGGCAAGTGTATTGGAGCCTCCCCCCAAGGTCGGGGGGGGGGGGGGGGGGGGTTCAATTCACCCACCCCTTCCTCCAGTGCCAGCTGGGGAACCTCTAAAATGAGCTCACTCTGCTCCCTTTCCTCCCTCCCATTCTGAAAACAGAGACAGGCTGAGAGAGAGAAGGGGCTATTGCTAATGGAAACTGGTTACAGGCTCCCAACCAGCAGATAGATTTCCCTCCCCACTGGACCCAACAGTGAACTTCTGTTTGGTCTGGGGGAACACTGTAGCTCAGAATACTTCCTGCAAAGCGTTATTAGTTACAGCAGGGAGCTGTACTTGTGTCTGTGCCCTTGAAGTTGCTACACATGTACATTTGTCCATACCCAGTATTTGGCTTTTTGTAGTGAGTGTGCGTTGTGACATCAATTCCTCTCCCTTCCTGCTTGTGTAACTGCCTCTGGAAAAAATGGTTCCTTGATAGCTTGTAAAGGGAATGGTTTCAGCCCCATTCATTTAGAAGGCTTATGACAGAGTGAGGTTAAGAAAAATGTTAGCAGTACTGATATAGCACCTTTTTTCTTCCTTGATTTGTCTGTAGGAGTCATGTGTTCCTACATACTGCAGATACAGATTTCATGACCTTCCTCCTCATCAAACTCAGGGACAGATGCACGGAACCCATGTCTATTTTAAAGATGTTAATGTGGTTCTGACAGGGACAATCAAACCTGCAAAACTGTATGAGTATCTTAGAGGGCCTCCTATGGAGATTGAAGTTCATGACCGGGACCAAAAAACTGTGGAAGATCCTAAAAAACCCTCCTTGTTTGGAGAAGAGCAAGATGATGCAAGGCTGAGTAATATAGGATTCCTCACTTACAAACACTCAGTCCAGAATCCATTTACAGACAAGAACAAGTCGTGGGATTCCTACGGAGTAGCTAAAGTCAGTTTAAATGGCCTACTGTTAGGTGAAAAGTATTTGAATATCAGTGTGCCTATTCATAGCTGCTCAGTTCCAGATCCCACTATTTATCAGAAGGATAACAAGAATGAGAAAATGGCAAGAGTATCACAACCAGTGAATGGCCTTCAGGCTTCTCCATTGCCGGTGGGACATTACTTGGAATCTGACTCACTCCTGAAAGTAAGAGTTGAAATAGCTGTGCCGCTAGGTCCTCAGGCAGGAACTGTGGATTCTAAAGTTGCAGACTGCCCATATGGTTGTATAATCTACATTTTTGACTACAAAAATGCATCTTTCTTACAAGATTTGCTGCAAGAGATTACAGGAATCAATGCTAAAGCTCTCCAGCTGGACTGTTTTCCACTACAAATAGCTCAAAAAGCTCTTGCTACATTCAGACTAAAAACTAAACTGAAGGAAATTTCTGAGCTGGATATCATAACTGGTTTTCATATCTTGGATGGAAAAATTCACCTTTTAGTCTTGGAAGGGTTAAAGGACAAAGCAATCAAGAGGCTCTGGGATCAGCAGTTAAACAGGTAAGATAGTTCGGTGCTTTTCAGTAGTGATTTATCTCTATACATGTATGATTTTTTAAATGAAATCATGCTGATTTTTTTTCTGCAAAGACAGTTTGATAATTCCCCCTTGTTACTTTCAGTGGATTTACACAAGTGGTTTAAGCACTATTTTTGATAATCCTCAATTTTTAGTAGGGTACAATGGCAAGAATGTTATAAATGTATTTGTTAAGCTACTGTATATTGTGGACATACCATGCTATTTTATTCAGTAAAATCATTCTAATAATAATCAGAGTTTCCTAAACTTTGCATTTTTCCAGTCTTTGCACTTTCCTTCTTGTAGACTTCACCTGAGCTTATGAGGATTGATTGGGACATCACCTTATTAGGGCATGAGGCTACATTTTCCACATATCAACCATGTTGTTAGGTTTCTGTTTCATTCATGATGTTTGTAGACACATTAAATGAATTAACAATCATCATTTTCCCCCTAATTAAATCTATATTAACAAGTTACTGTACAAACGTAACAGAGGAAAGATGAGATATATAACAATGAAGAATATTAATTTTAGGCTTCCTTGAGTTTAGTGAAAGGTAAGAATTATAAGAAAATAAATCTAAAATAATATAAAGAACCCTGGAGGGTGACTGTCTCTTTTATGGGCTCAGGTGCCACTCTGGGCATGCCTGGCCCACAACTCTCACTCTCTGGGGTCTTGCACCCCACGCGGTCTCAGCTGTGCCACTAGAAGGCCCACCAGGCCACTCTTCCCTGGCAGGTTGCAGTTTCAAGTCATGTCCAGGACCAAGAGGCCTCCTCCTTCCCCATAACCTCATAGAGTAGTTACAGGAGAAACAGCTCCACCAGAAGATGTTCTTTCCGCAGCATCAGGCAGCAAACAGCTTCTCCAGCCCTGCTGACCTGAATCTTAAAATGGCTGTTTACCAGAGCTAGGGACACACCTGCCAGCTGCTTATTCCAGCTCTTGAAGTGGCAGACACCATAGTGCCACAAGGCTAAGGACAGACATTACACATAAACCGGTTTAAGTGATCAGAAACTGGTTTAAACGTATAACAGAACAGACATTCAGTGCACATAAACCAGTTTGAAAAATGGCTGAAGCCAATTTGAGATAAACCTGGTTGAATATAGTATCAGACTTAACTGATTTGGTTCAAACCGGTTTATGCAATGTCTGTCCCAGACCCCTTCCTGGTTTAACTTAAACCAGAGTTCCCCAGCATCCCAGATGCTTTGCAGCCCTGGGCTGGGCTGTCTGCTCCAAAGCAGGCTGACTCCACCCTTCTGCTCCCTCTCTGGAGCTCCTCAGGAGATGGCAGGCACAGCAGCATCTGCCTGGCTTACCCCTGCCCCACCCCCACCACCCCCTGCTCAAGCAGGGATTCCCCCTCTCCCCTGTCCCACAGCTTGGACTGTAGCCAGCATGTGGTATGCAAGCTAATGCAGAGAGGTATCTGTGTAAGACAGACAGGACAAAGGCAGATAGGACAGTGTCCATTTAGGGCCTTTTAGAGCTAATCAGCAGGTCAGCTGGTAATGTCTCTCCTGTTCCTTCCTCGGAAAAAGTTGTTTAAGAAGAACTTGAACTAATGAGAGAGGCTTTTGTTTCCTTGATGGAGTGCTAAACACTGTTTTATCAACTCCCTGCTGCAGTGGTGATGCGTAGGGGTTGCACAGGTGTGCATGTGCACCCCCTGAGAGCACCGGTGCACCCCCTGTCAGGATGTGCCCCTCATTTAGGCGGTGGGCAGGGGGGCAGTCAGGAGCATCAGTGCCCCCCCGCAAGCGCCAGCTGGCTGCGGGACTTCTGGAAGAGGCATGGTCCCTTTTTGGTGAGTGAGATCAGGGGTGGGGAACTCCCTGATCAGAGCGATTGGCTGCCAGGGGATGCCCCCTCCCCCCTGGTCAGTAGGACTGGCTGCCAGGTTGCTGACTGGTGTTGGGGGGGCACATGCCCGCCCTGACTCAAGAAGCACCAGTCACCCGTGCCCTGCTCCTGACCAGTGAGGGGAGGCGGGAACCCCTCTCTAATCAGAGCATCTTGCTGGGGCCTGGCCATGCCCCCCTCAGCTCAGCATTGTGGAAGGGAAGGGAGGGAGGGCTGCTGTAGTGCCCCCCGGCTTCCAGCCTGAGCCACTGCAGGCGTGTGCCTGCATGTTCTCAGTCCACAGGGAATGTCTATACACTCACAACCTGGTTCAGGCTAGCCAGGTTAGACTAACCTGCAAAGATTGAATCAATTCAGGCTCAGGCTTTTTGAATGTCTGTCCCTAGCCATAGAGGCAAACTGGAGAGTGGTACAGTAAGTTTCTGGTACCCTCCAAATTAGGTGTGTCTGTATTTTGGAGGTAAAGTTTGGATTCTTTGTTACCTGCTACAATCAGATTAGGAAATTAAGATGACTTTCTGAACTAAAATGCAAATTTTACTGAAATGAATGGGGACATTCACTTCTGAGAGACAGTGCAAATGCACTGTTTATAATTTTCTCTAATAGGCCCTCCTTTAATTTATATAACTACTACATGTAAGACAAGGATTCCATGTGTCTTTTCTCTGATTAAAAATAAGAGTTAATTTTTTTAGTTATTGCCAGGGCACAGAAACATTTTTAATGCTTTCCTAATTTTTTGCATGCCTGATCTTTTCAAATGTCTGAAATTATTTATTTAAGTTAAAATGTCCTCTCTGAGTGTGGCTGTATAAAGCAAAGCTGTAGTATGGACTCCTTTTTTTACCTCTGGCAATTCATATTTCTAGTGGAAATAGTCATATAATGTTTTTGTAGGTATAGTAAGGCTCCAGTAGCATGCAACACTGAACTTGGATAAAATTTATTGCAGAACAATACATGCTGAAATTAAAAATGAATTTTCAAATAATTCATGAACAGAGTCTTTGTGGGCTTTTTTGGTAATTCGTTCAGAATTATTATTTTAAAAATCCTTTGTATTAAGAGACATAGATTAACATAAATTCCTTTGAAAAGAACAAAGACAAAATGGTTTAATTAGGGATCATGCTACAGGACTATCTGAAACAAGAGACACTGATTTTGTAACATTACTGTTGTGTTCTCTGTTGCAGGCCTCACAACACTGAAGATGGAAGATTGGAAGTATTATATAACTCACAGCTGTCTTTCCATCAGCGCCTGTATACAGACCTGGAAGCCATTCTGTATCATATCCACCTCTGCAAACCCCTCTCTTCTATAACAAAGCAGCCTCTTCTTTATATCAGAGAGATGGTTCCTCAGGCATGTTTCCAAGCCTTGTCCAGGTTAGACCATTCCTAGATTAATAGTCTCATAACTGACCGTTGACCCATTACCAAAGTAGCATGAATATTTCATACAATAATTAATGCTTTTGTTTTTCTTTCCAAAAGAAAAAAGGTCAATGTGTCTTACAGGTTTGAGGTCAGGCATGATAAAACGGCAGAGGAGCATGCTGCAGAGAAGTGCTAGGAAGAGAGCAGCAGTTTCAGGACCCTCTGCATGCCTTTGACTTTCAGTTAAATATTTAAAATAGCAGTAGTTGTGCCAGTAGTGACCTGCCCCTACCAGTTTGTCTAAGAATAAAATTATGTTGGGTAACTAGGCAAAGGGAGAAGAAGGAATGAGAAGGGGAAATCTGTCTTAAGGGATGCCAGCTGAAAGTGGCTTAATTCCTGTTCTGCTGGTCTAGACACTTATCATGGGGGAAAAGAAGCAGGTGACTGTGGCTCTGACAAGGCAAGGGCACTTTGGAAGGACACTCAGTCAGAAGTGAGAGGGAGCATAGAAAAAGCAGATATGCTTTGGCTGAAGAGGCTAAGCTTGTTCTGTGTCTGTAAAAACAGACTGTGAGATGCATTGCCCATTACCCTGCTGTATTTACTACTATTTGTCTTATAGTATATCTCACATGTTACTTCTAGTTTTAGCTTTCTATAAAGTATCAGATGTGAAGGGGTATATCATGTAGAAAATCTGAAAATCTAAAATTTTGCCTGTTTTGTAAGATTTGAAGAAAAAATGGTCTGTTAAGTAAAAATTATGCCAATGTTTGAAAAGTAGCAATTGGGCTTCATCATTCTGTGAAATAACAAATAAGGTGTTCAGAAAGTTGCAGAAAGACTGGGTTCATGTCCTCAGATGTCAGTAAACTCCCTTATATAAATTATTTTCTAAACTAAAGCCCACGCAATGTTTTCTGAAATAAATGGGGATGTTTACTTCTGACACTGAAAGAGTGCCCAGCATTTATCATTTCTTTCATAGGATTTAGTTTTAAATTGAATAACTCCCACATTACTCACCTACATTGCTTATGGCGGAACCTTGCCAAGTAAACATTCAAATTACATAGCAAAGCTGTTATTTCCAGTCAGAAGAGAAGGAAAACTTCGTGAGTAATTTTGTATGGTTGTGGTCACTACAAGTGAAAGGTGCTGATACTAAATGTCACCTGACTTGTATCATTGGCAAGTATGTAAAGTTTTTTATTGCCCGTTTTCAAACTAAGACAAAGCTTGACAAATGAAATGTGCTTCACAGCACATTTTTGATGCATCAGCCAAGGTTAGTACATGCAGTCATGTATGTACTAACCTAGGATTCTGAAAAGGGAGGGGGGAGATGGTATGGTGCATCATTACATTCAACACAATACACATTTTTCCCAGTTTAAGAGAGACAAAAAGCTTTACTAATATGCTAGGGACCTAGAGCTATATCATTCAGTTTAAGATCAAAGCAAAAACAAATATAACTTTATTGGGATGTGCATTAATTTGCTGTATCATATATTATGTATAGAAACACAAAAAGCTAGGCAAAAAATCAAAATATATTGTTACATTAGTTCTGCGGCATTAGAATTGCATGTACATCTTTTTCAGATGCAAAAACCAAAATCTAGCCTTCTTGAACATCTTGACAGTACATCCAATGCTTCACTGGAAGTTATTTCCGTATCTGAATTAATGTTCACCTGGTTTAATGTTTCCGCACTTGAGTTCATATTTTTAGCAACAGATAACAGAACTGCAGAATATAGGGTAGCCTGTTTACTGGAACATCAAGACTACTAAAAAGGAGAGAGGGTCATTAACACCTGTGGAATGAAAAGATTAGGAGGACTCAGGTAGATTATAATTGCCCATGAAGTAAATTGAATTCCTCACTGCTGCCTGAATAGAAATCCTGGTGCCAGTGCCAGGCAGTTGGTTTTAAAATTTGGGTGGACCAGAATCAAAGAGGGTGGGTGTGACTGCACCCCTACCCCTTGATCTGAACCTGAATGCAAGTATTTCTCTCTGTTCTCTGCTTATTTACTAATAATTAAAGGGGTTTAACTGTAAAGGTGGTGGCATATAATTTTTATTTTAAAAGCCCTGAGATCTTTCTGTCTAGTGAACCAGCCTTAATCTGTTACATCTATACACTTTGTCTAAAGTAAACAAGCAGGCAAGGAAAAGTTATAGTGACAAACTCCATTGAAATAAGTATGTGGTTGCTTATGATGTTCTTAAAGAGGTTTACACTTCTGAAGCAAAAACGTTTTAAATAAATCATTATAGAAAAATAAGAAAAAACCTTGGAAAACACTGCCAAATATAAAGCAGGGAATAGTACAACTGCTTTTTTTTTAGATGTGACAAAGAATTTTGCTTATAACAGATACCTAATAGGTTGCTTCCTGAAGAAACTAGATGCTGATCTCTTTTGTGAAACGATATTGGGTAAAACAAGAACAATTAATCCAGGTTTGGTGCTATGCACAACTTCAGTAGATGCTGCTGATGTTTCTGCAGTGACAATGAACATGTGTTTGGCTGTCACTATGGCAAGTCATGGTCAGAGTTGTTTTAAGTACAGCTCTCATTTCTATGCTAGTGAGAAGCATAGCTGCAGGAAAGCAACTATGCTATATAGCAGTCACTGCCATAAAAGAAGATGGGTGCAAATTCCAGCCATAACGACAGTGTGCTGTATTTAGGAGGAATCTACAATTGCCAAAGTATTGGTTCTTAGTGTTGAAACAGGATTATCCGCCATCTGGTAGTTTAGTGTCCAGCTTCCATTATTGAAACATACTTGTAAACTTCATTTAAAAACCGAGTCATAAAAATGTTTGTAACTTTGTGATTAAATATTATCAAACAGTTTTCTATATTTTATTCCGAAATAATGTTAGGGAAAATATACTTACTGCAATGCTTCTGAATTTTAGATCATGAATTTTTAGACATTCAGTCTGGTGACAGGTTAATAAAATCTCCCAAAATGATGAAGCATAATCATGCAACAAAAGAATGGGCAAAAGTTCCCTTTTCCCCATTTTTGCTAAGTAAGTTTATTACCAATTTTATTTACTAGACAAGTAATTCTTCTTGTATCATGCATCCGGCTGGTACTCTTTCCTACTTGGGCAGGGGGTCGGACTCGATCTGTTGAGGTCCCTTCTGATCCTAGCATCTATGAATCTATGCAACTGGACAATGCACTAACCAGCTTACACAGAAAGCAACAGTTATGTTCCATTTGGAAAACAATCGCTTTATTTGTATTGTGTGTAATGTGTGGTATGTGTTGCTGCCTCAACTCTCCCATTGCATGCAGATATCAGAAATCCAAGAATTTATGTACATCCATAGATACAGATAATGCATGCTGGATCCAGGTGTGTACCAAGCAGGGCATGTCCACACATGCAAGCACGTGCGCTTGCAGCAGCTCAAATAGAAATGGTGCAAATTTGAGCCAGGGCTTTTTGCCTCAGCGCATGTGCTCGGACATGCACTTTGTTGTGGAGCAAATTGTGCCACTTGGGGCAAAATAACCCTGCCTGGCTCCTCCCGGATCTTCAGCCAGGGGGAGCTAGAGCCTGAGGCTAGCACCTGTGCTGCTCCCAGCAATATAAAAGGCTGCCCTGTCCTGACCCCAGCAGTATAAAAAACTGCCCTGTCCTAGCCCCAGCAGTATAAAAAGCCACCCTGGCTAGTAGCTCAGGGCTACTAGCTCTCAGGAGCTTCCGGGGCCCAGCCAATTGGTACCTGGGGACAGCACCACCTTGTGCCAGCTGGACTGCTGAAGCAGTCCTGAGAGTTCCCTGCACCTTCTACCCACTGCACCAGTCTGGCAGTGGAGGCTGCTGCCTGGCTGTGACCTGCTGCACACCTGCCAGACTCGGATGGGGACTCCAGGTGGAGGCTCCGCCCCCTCGGGGCCAGCTGCCAGTGGACTGCGGTTGCAGGGTTGGCCTTTGTGTGGCACTACTGCCATTTGTGCCCCCTGCCCGGCCATCTGGGCAGCTATCACCCGGAAGATGTTCCAGGTTTGGTGGCCTGCTTTCAAAGCATGTCCTCCTGGCCCCATTTGGCCAGGAGGTCAGCCACAGCCAGCTGGGTCCAAGGTGCCAGCTCTGAGCAGGCAGGGTCCTGCCACTGGCCTCCCTGGCAGGAATTCTGGTGTTCCCTATTGGAAAACTGAAAAATCCCTGATAAAATCCCAAAATCGCTTTCTAAAATACCCCCAAATCCATGTTCCTCCACAAGTAAAACAAAAGACCACTATAAAGATTGAGAGAGAGAGAGAGAGAGAGAGAGAGAGTGAGACAGAGACAGCGATCAGTTGGACAATGTTTTATTGATATATCTACAGTGTGAAAGCAAGTCTCTTATCATAATAATAAAGTGAACTCTAAATACAGGTTTCATGAATTCATGAATACATATTTTGCTGCCCTCCCACAGGGCGATGGCCCCCACACAAGGGGTTGGGCCCCCACACAAGGGCTACGCCCCCCCCAACAGGGGGCTTATCCCCTACACAAGGGGTTCGGCCGCCACACAAGGGGTACAGCCCCCCAACAGAGGGTTCAGGCCCCACACAAGGGCTACACCCCTCAACAGAGGGTTCAGTCCCCCCAACAGGGGGTTCGGCCCCCACACAAAGGGTTCAGCCCCCCAAAAGGGATTCAGCCCCCCAACAGAGGGTTTGGTCCCCCACAAAGGGAGACAAGGGGTATGGTCCCCCAGCAGGAGCCAAATGACCCCTTCAGGGGCTACGTCCCCTGCAAGGCCCACATGTCCCACCCCAGCCCCGCAATTGCTGCTTCACCTGGCCCCATCCCCCCCCAGCTGCCGGCCCCCCCCCCC